ATAGAATATTATGGTGTCAAAAATTAAAAATTAGAATTTTAGAATGTTATAATGAAATAATTTGAGAATTATGAATAAAAATTTAATATAAAATAAAAATGAAAAATATATAATAAATCGGATAACGGGTCAACGAATACCCGTTAAACCAACATTTTGTGACCTAGGCTCAACATAGAAACCAGAAAAAATAGCACCTGAAAAATCCGGTAATTTTATTATAAAAACCTGTATTTTTAACTGGGTCGGCGAGTCTATGGACCGAATCAATCGGGTCGAGTATTTTTGAACACACCTAAGTGACATGACATGTGATATCATTCGATTGGATAATTAAATTTATTTTAATTTTGTAGACACCCATTTTTTTATTGGGATTAAAATATATATTATATTTATTATTATATACTATAATATATTAAATTATTATTATTATTATTATTATTATTAATTAGTTTATTTATATTTTGCAGAACCATAAAATAAAGCCCAACAGATTATAAATCCAAGCATCCCATGAAGCAGATGGAGACCCGATCCAGACCCAATAACCCAAAATCTGACCCAACTTGAAACCCTAAATAAATTAAAATTTCAACACATCATCTGCTGCGTCGCCGTCAGAGTCAATTTGCACAAATCATCTACAATGACAGATCACCTGTTTCAATCAAACAAAAGCAAAATTAATCATTTCACCTAAACACATCAAAATCTCACCAAATGCGTAGAAAATGAGCATGCAATGACAAGAGGATTTGGTATTGAGAAGAGAAATAAAAAGGAAGAAGAAAACAGATAATAGGGGAGGAGGAGAACCATCAAGGATTCGAGGAGAAAACGGATTCAACACAGAGGGGGGAAAATACGAACAGAAGGGGGATTAGCAAGCAAGAAAGGAAAAACAATTGTAACAAAAGGGGTTTTTTTTTCTTCAACAGACAAAAGATGCAAAACAAATTGTAACGGGTGGAGAAATAATTTGTAGAGGAGAAATTTTCTGCTACCTTATTCAAAACAAGAAAACAGTGTACAAAGGAGGTTTTTTCCTCTCATTCGAAGATCAATGAAAACACAGTAGCTCTCTCTTTTCAACGAGCCAAAGCAATACAAAGCCAAATCATTCATACAAGGTTTTCTCTTCATTATTATTTACAGTAGCATTTTGTTTATTCGTTTGAATGATTTTCAAATTAGATGCCAAATACAAGATAAAAATAAAGAATAAAAAGGGTTTAGAAATCTACCTGGGTCGTGCGAAATCATATGGGGTCTTGTTAACTCTGTTTGGTCGTCTTTTGGATTCCATGTTTAAAAAAAAAAGAATTTAGGTTGGCCAGTAAATAAAAATCTGAATCAAATCAGAAAGGGAAATCAAATTTTACCTGCTATAAGATTTCACACCGTGTATAAAGCAAAGTCGGGGTTGCGTTCTTAGGTTTCCAAAAGCGTTTCATATTGTTCTCTTGTTTCAGTTTGGATCTAGGAGATTAGATTCTTTTCCATAGACCTTCTTCATCAGTGTTAGGATCAAAGCGACGAGAGTTTTAGGAAGACTAAGTCCTTAGTTTATTGATTCTAGGTCTCAATTTAGTGATTAGAGAGCAAAACGGAGAGAAAAATGAGATAGGGTTTGGGATCTCAGTCGATTGAGGAACAAAAAAAAAATAAAGAGAGCGGCGCTGATGTTTTTAGCCAAGGGTTGTATGCTATAAGTCAAATTTAAGTTAGTTGGGTAAAATGACAGTGTTTAGCCTTGGATGAATACAAGTGGGGTGAGTGGAATGATTACATGTGAATCCATTAAATTAGGTTACTGGAAGTAGGTTTAGTTTTGTTTTTTTAAGTAATAAATTTTATATTATTTTAATATATGATGCATTTTTTTACATGTACATAATTTTCTATATTAAAAGGTCATAATTGTCGGATAATTTTGTATATTATTTGTTAATTCGATGATTATTTTTATTTATTAATTTTGTATGTATTACATAATTGAATTAAGGGTAATACTTTTTTAATTTAAAATCGTTTTAAGTAGGTTGTCTTAACTTATTCGAGATCCGCTTTTAACGAATTTAAAATAAAAGTGTATCCCATTAGTGGTACCTAAAATATTAATTCATCACTTTAAAATTTGGTAATGGAAGAAAAAATGTTGGGCTATTTAAATTTATCGAGAAAAGGTTGTTATAACTATTTAAGATCTGATCTTGATATTTTTAAATAATCGAATATTTTTTATCTTTCTAAAGGCTGGATAATTTTAACTTAATCGATCTGTTTTTTATGGTGAAATTTGTATGTTGTTATTTTGTTGGGAATCAAAAATTAAATTAAATTTGAATTTATAAATTCATTACAAAGACATTAATTAAGCGACACAGTATCAATTTTGGGTGCTGTGGGGGTGCTAATTCTTTCCTACGCGTAACCGATTCCCGAACTTGTTTTAACCTAATCTTTGGTAAACGCAGACTAACTTTTTGTCTTAAAAATGATTTTTTTCTTAAAATTATTTTTAAAAGACATTTTTAGGTATTCGACCTAACCCAAAGGTCGATGGCGACTCTCTTCAGTTTATTTCAAATCACCTCATTTCCAAAAATTAAAATCGTAACCGTTTTCTAAACAATTAAACTATTGTCCTGCCGGAAAATTGTTACAACAAATTTATTAAAAATATGACTAAATTGAGAGAATATGTAAAAAACATGGATGAAATGTGTGATTATATAAAAATATTTATCTTCAGTTTACAGATATTAACTCGAGGTGATTAAATCTTAATTAAATAAAAACGAAAATGATCATATTTTATATTATTTGAAACCAGTGATTATAAATGGACAAAACACAAAAATAAATAAACATCCATGTAATTAACCCCAAATTTTAACATTTTCATCCGGTGGAAGATAGCCTACAGCGAAGTTTGACAGCGTTGATCAATCATTCATGTAATGTGATAACGAGTATGGCAAATTAAGAGGAGGCGGGGGATGTTCTGAGGAACTTGGAACCTTCTTTTGAAAAAATAAAAATAAAATAAAAATTGCTACTTTATGTACTTGTGGAGGAGCACCGTTAATGGGCCGTTTGTTTGCTTCCAAATTTCAAGGTGTTTTTCTTCTTCTGAAAGTACGTAGTATTGTGTGCCGCTAGATCTCCGTTCCGTTTGCGTCGGTGCAAGCAACGTGTTCAAATTTCAATAGAAACATGCTCGTCCAGTTTCTCTAATGAATTGAAATATTTGTCCGCTTCGATAATCGCAAATCCAACTACCATTTTCACATCTTCGGCTCACATGAAGTCAGCTTGAATGTATTGCCCTCTTTTCTCACTCTTTGTGGCTAAAAACTCAGATCTCGAGTCGACTCATCATGTCATTTCTGAAGGTTTCATTAATCTTTGAGTTATTACTTAAGTAACCAACTATAACATCATTAAATTAAACTTAATGTAGTAGTTAGCATCGGCTTAGTCCAACTCTATACCTTTTAAATGACCTATATGCCAAAGTCATACCATACACACATGGCTATTAATGTCCATCATACGTTTGGTTGTTGCTTTAATTAATTACCTTGGTGAAGCCTGGCTAGCAAATGAGCTGTGTTGCCGTTAAATTCTACCATTCGATTACACTAAATATGATGCGTTACAGTAATATGACAAATAAATTAGTTAGAACATATTAGAAATTTTTTATATTTGCTGGTAGTGATAAATGGTTTGTGTAGACCGTTCACAGTTTATCTCTTTTAATTTGGACGAAAAATTATAGTAGATGATTATACAACAGTTAATTAGACAATGTCAATGTAAAACAATTAGTGAAGATGATTTGGGAGTCAAACCTACTTGAGGTGCATAAATGTTTATATTTTAACCGATATGCATGTTAGTGTTATGTTTAGGATTATAACACTTGGACATAAGACGATAAAATATATAAATGTAATAGTCAATTAGTAGATTTGACCTTGATAAATCTTCTAGGTTATCAAAGGTTTTATCCAATAGTGACAGAACTCTGTATAGTTCTAGGGGAGCCATTACCCCTAAATTTTTTTAATAACACATATATAGGGATATATACATATTTAAACCTTTAAATTTTGATTTATTTTGATTGTTCCAATTTTATTTTTAATTATAATTTTTTTTGAACTAGAATTCTGACTCCGTCCTTCGATGTTTTTTGGTCAGCCAAATTTTTTTTATAAGAGTCCTTTGAAAGTGATCGTAATAAGCGAATATAAGAGCTATATACATCGAGGCATTGTGTCTTCGAAAGTATAATAATATTATATTTAGTTTTCATATCATAAAAAGTAAAAAGAGATATTCTAATCAATATATTAAATCTAAAAATTCATTTTAGTCTAAGAAATTTTTTATAAAATAAGAAAAAATTAGTTAAATCCCTAATACAAAAATAACATTGAATTGAGTCCTTCATACATTATTAGTACTTACCTCAACGACTACATTATCATTTTTTCATATCAACTGTCATATCATTTACCTCATCGTTATGTAACGAGACATTAAGGTTTTTAATACAAAATAATTCAGTTAATTATCATTTTTAATTTAAAAAATAATTAAATTTTATGTTTAATTAAAAAAATTCTTGATTTTTTTCATTACTTTGAAGACCTAGCCTTGTTTTTGTACAAATTTTAAAAATGATGTTATGTAGGATTTGGGAAATGAAATATGTATAAATAGCTTGGGCTTATGGCTTAAGCCCTATACAGATGGGGTTTAAGCAGGCTTGAATTGGGCCCGTTTTATAGGTTTGAGAGGCCGTGTTTCCTTATCTGGTCCGACGTGGCAGCAGTACACCAAAAGCCATCTTCCACGTGGCTATAGTCTATTGGATATGAGTTGCGTTGGATTATACCCACTGCCCAGCAAGGCCATAGGCTTCCCCTTCCATACACCTCTGCGAATTTCCATCTTTCAATCCATCCCGTTATCTTATATGCACTTGGAAGAGAATGAAAATTTAAGAGAAATTATTTAGAAGTTAGTTTTAAGAAATGGAGAATCTGATGATTACTTGTATCTCAAAACCTCCTGTAAAAATCCCAACAAAACATGAAAACTTATCAGAATTTTCTCAAACTCCAACCAAACTCACCTTCTCTTACACAAAAAACACCAACTACCCAAAATTCACAGACAACCATTTAAAGTGCCTGGCACGAAAAGGCCGTCTAACCGAAGCTGTAACCGCTCTTGATTCAATTGCTCTCTCTGGGTCCGAGGTAAGACCCAATACCTTCATCGAATTACTTCAAGCATGCATCGATTTCGGCTCTCTTGAATTGGGTCGAAAAATCCATGCCCGGATCCATTTAGTTAAGGAAAGTGACCCCTTCGTTGAAACCAAACTTGTAAGCATGTATGCTAAATGCGGGTCCTTTGCTGATGCTCGTAATGTGTTTGATAAAATGAGCGAAAGGAATTTGTACACTTGGTCTACAATGATTGGTGCGTACACCAGAGAGTCGAGGTGGAAGAAAGTTGGGGAACTTTTCTTTTTGATGATGGAGGATGGTGTTTTGCCTGATGAATTTTTGTTTCCGAGAATTTTGCAAGCTTGTGCGAATTGTGGTGATGCTAGGACCGGAAGATTGCTACATTCTTTAGCAATCAGATTGGGGATGGTTGATTTTACACGTGTTAGTAATTCGATTTTAGCCGTATATGCAAAGTGTGGGGACTTGAGTTCTGCGAGGAGTTTTTTTGATTACATGAATGAGAGGGATGGAGTGACTTGGAATTCAATGTTATTAGCGTATTGTCAGAAGGGTGACAGTGATGAAGCTTATAGATTGTTCAATGGGATGTGGGGTGAAGGAATTGAACCTTGTATTGTTTCATGGAATATATTGATTAATAGTTATAATCAGTTAGGGCAATGTGATGTGGCTTTGGGATTGATGAAGGAGATGGAGAGTTCTAGAGTAAGTCCTGATGTCTTTACTTGGACCTCAATGATCTCAGGGCTTGCTCAAAATGGTAGGAGGTGGCATGCCTTGTTTTTGTTTAATGAGATGCTTTTGGCTGGGATCAAGCCTAATGGTGTTACTATCACAAGTGCAGTTTCAGCTTGTGCTTCCTTGAAAGTATTAAAGATGGGACTGGAAATTCATTCAACTGCCATTAGGATGGGCATAACTGAGAATGTGCTCGTTGGGAACTCCCTTATTGACATGTATGCTAAGTGTGGGGAACTGGAAGCTGCGAGGCGAGTCTTTGATGTGATTGAAGAAAAAGATATTTATACTTGGAATTCAATGATAGCAGGATATTGCCAATCTGGTTATTGTGGGAAGGCTTATGAACTCTTTATCAAAATGCAAGAGTCGGATGTGAAGCCTAATGTTATAACATGGAATACCATGATCTCAGGATACATACAGAATGGAGATGAAGATCGAGCCATGGATCTTTTTCAACTGATTGAACGGGATGGAGAGATCAGGAGAAACACAGCATCCTGGAATGCTCTTATTGCTGGTTTTGTGCAACTTGGGGCTATAGACAAGGCATTTGGAGTTTTTCGAAAAATGCAATCATGCTCCATTGGTCCAAATTCAGTAACTATATTGAGTATCTTGCCTGGTTGTGCGAATTTAATTGCCGCAAAAAAGGTGAAAGAGATCCATGGTTGTATTTTGCGTAGGAATTTAGAGTTTGTACTCTCTATTTCAAATTCTCTAATAGACTCTTATGCAAAGTCTGGTAATATTTTATATTCTAGAAACATATTTGATGGAATGCCAACTCAAGATATAATTTCCTGGAACTCAATAATAGGTGGTTATGTTTTACAAGGTTGTTCCGATGCTGCCCTGGATCTCTTCAACCAGATGGGAAAGTTGGGGCTTAAACCTAATAGAGGTACCTTTTTAAGTATTATCCTTGCACATGGTATTGCGAAAATGGTGGATGAGGGAAAGCACATTTTTTCTAGCATCATTGACAACTATGAGATTATACCAGCCATAGAACATTATTCAGCAATGGTAGAGTTCTATGGCCGCTCTGGTCGGCTTGGAGAAGCAATGGAGTTTATTGAAGACATGCCTATAGAGCCTGACTCCGCTGTTTGGACTTCCTTGCTAACTGCCTCTAGGATTCATACGGATATTGCTTTGGCTGTCCTTGCAGGGGAACAATTACTTGACTTGGAACCCGGAAATGTTGTGGTTAACCAATTAATGTTTCAGATATATAGCTTGTGCGGGAAATTGGATGACTCTTCAAAACTGAGAAAGCTTGGAAAAGAGCACACATTAAGAAGATCTCTTGGGCACAGCTGGATTGAAGTTAGAAATACAGTGCATAATTTTGTTACTGGTGATCGGTCTAAGCCATGCTCAGACCTTTTGTATTCATGGGTGAAAAACATTGCCATAGAAGTGAACATAGATGACCATCATGGTGGGTTTTTCATTGAGGAAGAAGAGGAGGAGGATACTGGTGGTGTTCATAGTGAAAAACTTGCTTTAGCTTTTGCCCTAATTGACTCACCTTCATCCCCTCAAAGTATAAGGATTGTTAAAAACACCAGAATGTGTAAGAACTGCCATTTAACTGCCAAGCATATTTCCTTTAAATTTGGGTGTGAGATATATCTAAGTGATACAAATTGCTTCCACCATTTTAAGAATGGACACTGTTCTTGCGGAGATTATTGGTAGAGTACGTATGCTGGATGCAGGAATGATTTGCATAGATTTGTCATCTCAAAATGCAAAGAAACTCTTCTGGAAACTACAGCACTCTTCTCTATGCTAGAGCACACATGTAAAATAGGTGCACTTACCATGACTTTTGATTTTTGACTTTGGCTTACGACATATGTTGAGAACTTTGTATATCATGTTTCTTTTTTTGAAAATTAATTTGTATATCATTATTTAATAATTAGTGCAGCTTTTCTGAGAAGCTTAAGCTGATGATTTGATGGGACGCTGGTCACTGGAGAATTAAATTTATTTACACGCGAGTGGCTGACGATGTGATATTCTTCTATCGCATCCAAGTCCTGCATTTGACAGGGAAGGTGTAGAGCATTTACAAGTATTTTTACCCTTTCGCCGGTATGCGTTGCATCTTTTGTATAGTCCTATTTATTGAATGAAACTTTCTGCAATGTTGAAATCCTTTTCGTGTTCTCGCTTATATGTCTTTGAAACCTACCGCATTTACCTAAAATTGAAGTGTTACTTTTGCAGAAGTTTCAGGAAGCCCTGCAAGAACTTCGAACTTTAAGTTCTAATTTAATTACTGCAGTGAAGAATGTCTGCTTTCTTTGGCTCTCGGCTAGAGCCACTTTGTATAAGATCGGAACAGGTACTTTGCCTTAATTTAGCTAATAATGCATTCCGAAGTGGGATTAAAGACACCTTGTTCTTTAAATGTCACTTGCAGTAGGCCTTGCCATTCTGCAGCGTCTACGGTCATAAAGCACACCATACCTTCCGCCCATGCTTATATCAACAAGAAATAATATCCTTAGGTCAGGGAAGGGTACTTGTCAATTTATTGTTGATTCTTGATTCAAACCTGGAAATTTCAATGCAATATGCTACCTGCATTTGGCTTTGAACTTCAGCTATCTTGTATGAAGATTCACTTTTAATCTTTTCCATTAAGAATGATGAATTTACAGTTCTAATTTCTTGAGTTTACGGAATAGCCGCCATTGAAAATATTAAATTTCCTAAACCTTAAACGGAAACCAGTATCAAAAAAATTTATTGCATCTTTTACCAGCTCATTTTACTCCCCTCCATTGGCTCATCAGATAACTGACGTATAATATACTTTCTAACACCAAAAATGTACTCTCGTCTATGGCCTTCCTATGCAGAAGTCTAGAGATGAACATTTTCCTCCCATTCCCAAAGAAAAATATTCCAAGAATGTTTTGCTGCTGTGGAGATAAGAAAGTAAACCCTGATAGATTTGGAATGTGATAAAAGAGTGATTGTTTGAGGCTATACGTACCATATTCGCTGGAAATACCATCTGGCAGAAGATGATGGGGCAAACAAACTTTATCAACGATGACCAGTACACAGAAAATGCCTAGCTGATTAGCCTCATTTCTAAAACCACTTCCAAAAAAAATTAAAGGTTTTTTTTGTTGCTTAAAATCACTGTCAGAATTGCTGACAGTTCGGTCATATCGCCTTCATTTCCATTGTTGGAAGCTCCCAAGTTTAAGCATAATTCGATCTTTTGAAAATGAAAGGGAAAATATCAGAAAATTATATATATATAAAAAAAAATCAGTGACTTGGGTACCATTGTTTAAAAAGGCACAAATGCTCTGCTTAACCATTAACGAGGAGCAGCCAACATGCGTAGCTGAGGTAATTCAGTGAAGGATGTTGACATGACTGAAAATAAAAGTTGTAAAAAAGGATAAAGTACTTGATAGCAGAAAAGCTCATCTTCAAATTCAGGGAATTAATGATTGATGATTCTACTCCATGGCAGTTTCGGAAGTATAACAACACAAAATCCTGACCGTCAGGAAAGGGTGGAACATTTCTAGGCAGAAGATAAAAGCTCTTTTCAACAAGGCACTGCTTTTGGTGCATCCGATTCCTTCCCTTTGAATTGTTTCCCTTCATAGTGGAAAACAGAATAAGCTTCTTTTGCAGTATACAAACTTCAAAATTGAAAATCATATTCGGTCGATATCATAATATTAACTCCACCCCACTCCCTCTTTTTCTGCTTATAAATACAAATCGGGTATCTCCCAGTCACTTATTCAGTGCCGCTCTAAACCAACCACTTCCGCCAGTTCTCGCCAATTAATCAGCCAAGTCTTTGCTCCTTGAGAAATGGTAATCGACAATTGTTTGGTTTTACTATTTGGGTTTTAATTTGTTGATTGATTTTCATGAGTAAAATCTCCTGGATGATGTTGGCAGAGTATTGAGGATGATCAAAAACCTGTAACAGTTGGACCATGGGGAGGCCAAGGTGGATCTTCTTGGGATGACGGAGTTTACTTCACGATAAGGCAATTGGTGATAGCTCATGGATCCGGCGTTGATTCCATCCAGATTGAATATGATAATAAAGGGAACTCTCTTTGGTCAAAGAAGCATGGAGGAAATGGAGGCTCTAAGACAGATAAGGTTAATATCAAATGTCACATTAAAAAGTATTTTCCCCCAAGTTTAGTGTGTTTTAGGTTAATTGTCACGCATGTCATCTCAAGCTTAGGTTGATTGGAAAAGCTATGGTGGAGAATCTTAAAATGCATAGAATTCATTAAAATTCTGTTTCGAGGTTCAGCATGAAGTGGCAGATCTTTCTCTTATGACCTGCTGTATAGTTGACTGTAAACTTCACTTAGCTGATGTTGATTGTTTGATATATTAGGTCAAACTTGATTTTCCAGATGAGTTTCTTACTTCAGTACATGGATACTATGGGAGCCTGAAGGAACGAGGACCAATTCTTGTTCGGTCGCTAACATTTCATAGCAACAAGAAAACGTATGGACCCTTTGGTATTGAACAAGGAACTGGTTTCTCAATGACCAAGGGCAAGATCGTTGGATTTCACGGCAGGAGTGGTTGGTATTTGGATGCAATTGGAGTGCATTCGAAGGCGATCCCGAACCTAAACCCTTCAAAGACTATGACTCATGCCGTAAGTTATGCTGCTGATGGAGCTGAAAAAAGTGGCTTTTCAGTGATCCAGGGAAGTGTCGGAGAAAGCTATGACATTGTTCTAGCTGTGAGGCAGAGGGATGGATTTGTGACTCCCCAGCCAAAGGAACTCAAAAGGCAAATTTCTAGTTCTAGTAGCTCCGACGATTCAAGTGATGTAGAAACTAAAAGCAAGGTAAGAAATATAAACTTGCTTTTGCCTTCATATGCGTGATGGCATAATTTCTTCTCATTCTTTTACATGTTCAAGGTTTCGTTTCGGAGTACTCCACAGAAACTTCCTCCAAAGTTACCGGAAGGAGTGTTAACTTATGGACCCTGGGGTGGCCAGGGTGGAGCCAAGTTTGATGATGGAACCTATACGGGTATAAGGCAAATCGTTTTGTCGCGTAATGTTGGGATTGTATCAATGAAGGTTTGCTATGATCGCGGGGGACAAGCAGTATGGGGAAGCAAACATGGGGGGACTGGAGGATTCAAAACAGAAAGGGTGAGCCTAGTGGCTTCTCTTTCGGAGTTCATATCAACATTACTATTTTTTTAATGGACTTTCTGTTGCATTATATGCAGATAATGTTTGATTATCCATTAGAAATTTTGACACACATCACCGGAACATTCGGGGCTTTAATGTACATGGGGCCTAACGTGATAAAGTCACTAACATTCCACACCAACAAAGGGAAACATGGGCCGTATGGAGATGAACAAGGACCTTCTTTCACTAACAAAATGAATGAAGGCAGGATTGTTGGATTCATAGGCAGAGAGGGTTTATTTCTGGATGCTATTGGTGTACATGTCATGGAAGGGAAAGTACCACCTCCAAAACCATCTTTTTCCCAAGCAATCATCCAAAGTGAAAAGACTATAGCTGAGATTGATAACTCTCCATGGTCTAATAAACTGGTTCTAGCAAGGAGAGGACCATCTGAAGAGGTAATTCATCATACATATTTTTCTTTGACTTTTATTTAAAATGAAATTTGTAATGTATATTTTCCATGAACTTTCTCAGGTTGCTTGTGGCGTGGTAAAAGAACCTTCACCATGCGGACCAGGTCCCTGGGGAGGGGATGGAGGGAGAGCATGGGATGATGGAGTGTATTCTGGGATTAAGCAAATATTTATTACCAAATCTGAAGCTATTTGCTCGATTCAAGTCGAGTATGATCGAAACGGACAATCTGTTTGGTCCATAAAACATGGAGGCCATGGAGGGACCATTACACATCGGGTAATAATGAGCATCTTCATAACCAAATTTCAACCTACTGGGGCTAATGTTTTTTGTGACTGACCGTAATCTTGAGTTTGCAGGTAAAATTGGATTACCCGCACGAGGTACTCATCTGTATATCTGGCTATTATGGCCCCGTAAATGATGAGGAGAAGTCGAAAGTCATAAGGTCGTTAACAATTTACACCAGCAGAGGGAAGTATGGTCCATTCGGTGAGGAGATAGGCACATATTTCACTTCGACAACTACGCAGGGGAAGGTGGTGGGCTTCCATGGGAGATGCAGCTCTTACTTGGATGCTATCGGAGTTCATATGCAGCACTGGCTGGGAAATCAAAGAGCCTCAAAGATGTCTCTCTTCAAAATGTTCAGTTGAATTCGCTGCTGCTCTTTTGGTTTACCATATGGTTAAGATGAGATTGGTGGCAAATAATGAATTATTACTATCTTGATTCAAGAAAAATAAATAAATTGCTCAATCCATTTCCAGTTCACTCTGCTCCTATATGCCTGAGGGATTGTTCTTGTACTCTCTATTCTAAGCTGATGAAATAAATGAAAGGGTATGCTCTATGTTTCGAATAATTATATTTTATGTCCACAAATACCTGCAATCGCATGTAACATATTCCTAGAACTTTTCTCAGTGGTCATTCGACGTTTGCCCTCTATCATCCGTATAGAAATGAATTGAAAATATTGACTGGATTATGATCTCAGAAGATTAATTTTAATTTGTCAGTATATCATATGCAAATTATGATGCATGTCCAAATAAAGCCATGACATCTTTACATTATAACTAACCTGTAATATTCCAAAATCCGGGTTAGTAGTTTGGGTCAACCGAAGACCTTTAAGTCAAGCTAATTAGACCTCTCAAGATAGTTGGACCAAGTTATATAGGTGTGGGGCCTAAGGTAGGCCCAAGAGATAAAGCTAAGAGATGGTTTTAAAGTGAGTTAATAGATGAAAGACCTAAAGTGTAGTTTACCTATTTTGTTGAAGCTAAAAACTTTCCCCCTCTTCTTATACCATTTCACGTAACCAAAATCCCCATAATATTTCACTCACTCTTCTTCTTCTTCCTTCCATTAGTTTCCATTTCTTCTTTCTTTCAAGAGCCAAGTTTCAAGCATTTCAATCTTAGATTTGTTTAGCCAAGGTAAGAATGTTTCTCTCTATCCTTCAAACTTTGTTTCAAGCTCCATTTTGTGAGTTTCAGAATTTGTTTTCAAAATGGGTTATTAGGAGTTTGAAAGGAACCTAGAGATTTAAGCTTGTTTTGAGTAATGTTAATTAGTATAGAGTGTTTTAACTTAGTTTCCAAGTTAAAGACAAGTTAGTAACCCCTAGTTTTGTTTTGATTAGCCAATAAGGTGGGTGAAGTTCTAAAGCAAAGGATAAAGGTAAGGTGATTCCCAGTTGAGTTGAGGGAGATTTTAGCAACCAAGGAGGCCAGTATCAACTATTACATACTCCTAGTGATCGTTAGAAATGAATTCTAGTTTGAGAGTAAGTTATGAAGCTTAGTGTTATATGTTAATGGTAGATTATATGTTTTATCTTATATTCATGATATAAAGCCTTATTTATGCTCCTTGTAAATACATAAGACTTTAAAAAATGTTTGGGGACCTCACTAGGGTCTTTGAGATTGAAATATAGCATTTTTTGTGTTTTATGACTTCTTCAGGTAAAGTATAGATACTATAGGGATAATATCAATACTTGTTCTTCATTTTGGGCAAATTCGTAAGTTTCTGGGCAAGAATATCGATGCTCTTTCAAGAGTATCGAAACTTTGGATCATAGTTTCGAAACTCCTAGAAAGTTTTGAAACTGGGCAGAATAGAATGCTTAAAAGTATCGATACTTATATAAAGTATCAAAACTTTTGCAGGAGTATCGATACTTTCAGTATGTTTTGGGCAAAAAGGTTAGTTTTTAAGGGAGTTAGACTCAAGGTACCCAACACTTCAGTATTTCCTCACATAAAACTTCAAGTGAGAACATTAATAATATTTAATTCAAACCTAGAAACGAGAATAAAGTAGGGTGAAATAAGACTAGCTTTGTTTGAATGCTCGATAGGGAAAACGACCAGGACACCCGAGTCCCTTTAGAAAAAGATAGCAGAGTCGAAAGTATAGATTCAGTGTGAATATCCTTAGGGAGTGTGCAAGGCACTTTAAGTTGACTAGTTTGGGCACAAGGTCCGACACTCAAAGAGTGAGCTAGTCAAGAGTGTGGTGTCCGATGTAGAGATTCTGAGGGCTACATTCTCGGTAGACTAGAGAGGTTTCGAGCACCGATATGCATAACCCTCAACCGCACCATGATGTCTACCATAGAATAGAGAGTGAGTATATGAGTATACTCACTAAAGCAGAACAGAACATACCAGTAAACCAGATAGCAATAGACCAGATAGTAGTAGACTTGATAGCTTGAGCATTTCAGTGACAAACTATCAATATGTATTTCTATGGGCAGGTCAGTAGATCGAGAATTCGAGGAGCAGTAAATAGATCAAGGTCCAGACCCAGTGCAGATTCAGAGAACGTCTCAGCAGTTTTTGAAGGGCATGTATATTTTATAAACCTGTTATATAAGAGTCGGTCTGTAATATTTTGATTGTAAATATTTATTTTTGGAGCTCCCCAATATAAAGTTTTAAATTATATTATTTCATGGATGTTTTATTTGTGGAAATTATCATTTTATAGTACAAGAAAAGAGTAAGGTGTTGGTCAACTATTTGGATGGTTCCGTGTGGCATCCTACATCGGTCGATTGTGTGTCATACTGGTCTAGAGTGTTACATAACCTTTCAAATCAATAATCAATGATGCTTACACGTGCTTAATATTTGAATAAAACATTGGGTAAAGGTGGAACCCAAGGAAAGATAATATGGGAGCCAACAACAGATCTCTCCTAAGCTTACACTACCACATTTCATTGAAGTTAATTTTCAAACATCAGCCATCACTAAATGCACATCTCATTATTCATATAAGGTTTGAAAGTAATGTTCTATCCACCAGCTCTGTTGTTTGGTCTATGTCTTGAAGCTAGACGGTATTCTAATTAGCTTTTGGGTCTTTGAACATCCTTTGCTGGTCAAAGGTCTTCACATGGACATTTCTGGTGAACTAGGAACTAATTTTGCTGATAATTGAGACAAAAGTGGAAAGAAAAAAAAAACTGGCATTGATGTATTGGAGTGGAGTTCGGGGTTGCAAGTTGCCGAAGCAAGGATGAAATGGACGAGTAAGGAATAAGGATTCACTAGACTCTAGAGCCTCATTTGCTGCAGTGTAGAGCCAAGTGAGTGGGTGCCAGATTACAATTTGCATGGTGTTTCTAAGGAATATTATGGATCAAATTAGAAACCTTATGAAAATGATTAAAGGGCCTATCTTCTCTAGATAGTGATGTAGCAACCATATCATTAGCTGGGAATAACGGAAAAAGATGGTGTTAGATATTATTCCTTTGGACTAAGCCATTTTTCTTGCAGGAGCTAGCACACCGCATTCAATTTTAACAGTTTCAGTTGGGTCTGCATGAGTCACAAGTCTCAAGGTTCAAATTAAGAAAATAAAATAATACAAACTGTTGGGTTTAGAGAAAGGCAGAATCATAGATTGTGACTATCATCCTTAATGTTCGGTTTGATCTTTCTGTAAGCAATCTTTTCAATTTCTAAGTGATTCATAAGGGTAGATAATGTCGGTAGTTATTGTTCAACTTGTTTGGTTATGCTTTCTGACATTCATGATTTGCAGCATGGTTGAATTATTTTCTCCCAAAAGTACCCATTCAAATGAATTAAGTTAGGTCCAACACCTATACACATCTATAGTACTTATTTCACTGTAGTCATATGTAAAGTATTCATGACATATCATAATCATACGTCAATCATCTATCAACTTGCTAAATCTGCAATGAATTCCTTGTATATGCTGAAGTTATTCAAGCCAACTTTTGGCTATTACCACTGTTTTCTAGCTAGTCCATGTGTTGGTTCTACAGTGTTTATTTAGTTTCCCGGGTAACATGCATCGATCGGATCAATCCGCCACTTGCTTCTTTTCCAAAAATGGAACTAATACCGTAATGCACTTTTCACCTCAAAAAAGAAAATGTTTTGCTCACAAAGAAGCTTGCTAGCTGCTTCACACGTTCAGTCACCTTCTACTTTCATGAAAAGAGAGAGAGAAATCAAACGACCATGTCAAATTTGAATCCATCATCCTTATCGATTCCAGCTGAAGTTGTTGCTATGTATAATCATATATGTGTCTCTCAATTGCAAGTTGCAAACACGCATGCTGTACGACTAAGCAAGCATGTTTTCGCTATGTATAATCATACACAGCTTTGCTCCTGCTGCCTAACTCGATTCCCAAATGGACATCGCTATCGCCATCAGCTGCTAATGTTATTTGCCCATAGGCAGTCGTTTGTTTTGGATATTAATGGTGTATGTTATTTTAATTGTATTATTTTTTTCTTGGTGAATAATTGTTTTACTAATGAATTTTGTTTATCTTTTGTTTCGCTGAAGATTCTTAGTTGTTTGTTCTGAGGTGCATTTATTTAAGTCGGTGTTATGTCTACTGTGGTGTTCTTAGCTGTTTTACAGTTCCACTTATGTATATATATATATTTTTTAATAGTATTATCAACATGTTAGGAGTTTATGAATAAGAAAAATAATAAGATCGACGTAGAATAAGATATACGTAAGAGACCTTAATATTTCTACAAAACTCATCACCACACTATAAAATATAAAATGATTATATTTCTCCAAAATAATTTTCTTTCGTAATTATGAAGAATAATTATTAAATAAACTTAATATTTAAATAATTTTTAATCAATGAAATTATAATAAAATTTAATTTATTTTTAATTAAAAGACTAAAAGAGTTTTCTAACGCTTGATTAGGGAAAAGGACAACTATTAGTACCTCACTCGTAATCCCCAAGCAGGAAGAGCTGGAAGTCAACTTCAACGGCCACTTAGTCTTGTTCCTGTATAGAACCAAATAATTTTAAGTGTAGAGGGTTGGTCTCCACTCAACTCCATTCATTTCTCAGATCAAGTCTAGGGGTGGGACGGCCTCTCAGTTTAGAGTTTGCGTGTTTAGGTTCGTTTTTTTGATAAAAACTACACGATCGTCCCACTTTGAAAAACAAATCAAAATCACTTTTTAACTTTTAAAACTAATTATATATTTATAAAACAATCAAATCAGTTATATTTTTATGAAGACTTTTGGAAAAAAATATTTTTATCACAGTTTTAAAATAAATGTCCTTGTTTGGGTGAATCATGGGGAATATCAAAATTTATAAGAATTTTAGAAGAGATTTTAATATTCTAAATCCCCTATTCAAATCCCATTTAGGAGTGAGTTTCTAAAATTTAGTCGGGTC